CCCCCCCAGTGCACGGAGAAACTCTCCTGCTGCCTAGACAAGGATTACAGTAGTTCTGTCTTGAAATTTTAGTTCCAGACTACATGGACAAGACCTGAGATGCCTCTGTTGTTACCTGTTCCTCAAAGCTATACATTAAACAAAACATGCATCTGATCAGTTTAACCTGTAATTAAACATTTTCCTTAAGCAACTGACATCTTGATAACTAATAATTATCATGTGTAGCACCTTTAAAGCCTATTATGCATGTTTATGTAAGAACACTATTACCATAATAATAAGATATCATTACCACAAATGTGCATACTGAATGAGCATGTCTTAAAGTAATCATGCGATTCCATTAATTATACTTGAAAAATTAAAGTATTTGCTGTCTAATCTCTAAAACACTACTCAAAAGATTTTTTGAAACAGCAAGACCTGTTTACTGCAAGTCTCTAATACATGATATCTCATTTCTGATGTCTCATTTTTGTTTCCTGAATTGTTGCCTATCTTTCAGCTAGGGAAATCATTAGCTCAGAGACCCACAGTCTCCCGCTGAAAGCATTTCCATGCTCTTATTTTTATATCGTTTCCCTTGTTTTTTTGTCCAGGGACTGCTGCCACCTTTTCTTATGGCTGATGTGAAATGCACTCCTGAAACTCACTTCTCCTTGAAATTAGATAATTGCTTTAAACAAGATGGGCTGATAGCTAATTGTAATTGTTAGTCCCTTGCACAAGGGGAGGGAAGAAAAAAAAAAAAGCTGTTCAAGTGCACTTTTTTCCCCTTTTTAATAGAAGATTGGAAAGTTGGGGAGTGGAGTTTTCTGCTTGTATGTATAAATTTGTCAAGAGTGTGACAGTTTGAGTTTCTGTTTCTCATATTGAAATGTTGAACTCTATAGTTCTTTTTTTCTGGAATAGACTTGATGACCAATGTGAAAGTTGGGAAGAAACATTTAGCCTGCTAAGAGATCTGGGTAACTGAAAAAAGACTTTTTCATGCTGGTTAAATCAAATTCCTGATGGGGCTAAGGGCTAAAAAAATAGTAAAATAATTTTTTTTACATTATTTATTAGAAGATTCTTATTGTGGTTGGCCTAATGTGATCTTTGGGGCATTGCTGGTGCGGACAGAAAGAACGTTGTGCAGGTCTGCCTGAAGTCCCTACTCCTTCCCCTTTCCTGAAGCGCGCAGGTTGGCATTTCATGGACTGTGTCCTTGTGCGCGGTGCTGGCAATCGTGCTGCTCCATGGGACCACTGCGGGAGAGAGCTGGCGGAAGGCAGCTGTAGAGGTTAAGAGGATCAATGGAATTGTTGGCCTTTTGCAGGCTTTTACTCATCCAAGCAGAGTATCCATTTGTGCTGTTATTGTTAGAAGGGAAGAGTAGGGTGTTTAATTAATGGCGCTTTTTTCTGTAATCTTTTGTAAAGATAAAAGCATGTCCTCTCTCAGTAGTTCTATCAAAACTTTTGGGAAGAAGGACTAACGGTGAAACTTGAAGCCACAGTTGTTTTATGAAATCAGTTATTACTGTTATTGTATAGTGTATTTTGATCACTCAGAAGGAATTAACCCGAGGTTTTCAGACTAAGAACACCTTTTGCAGTTTTCCAGGTGTCCAGCGGGACAGGTGTTTGTCTGTAGCTGGCAGGCATCAGTGTTTTCATTCATTCTCTTTGAGCTCATTGATAAAAATGCATTTGTGTATAGAGTGATCAAACGCTTGCTGCTTTAGAGAAGCCATTCTTTTATCTGTCAATAGTACCACGTCTAATTTAGTAACATAATGTGTGCTGAGTCAAATTAGTATATCACTGTGTGTTTTCTTCCTTAACGCTTGGCATTATAATCTGGAGCACAGTGAAGTATTCATTAATGCCACAAAGTACATGGTGCCATACATCTCCTTACTACTTGATGCAGTTACCTTGACATGTTCCTGTATCTAAGGTGTTAACTGTATTATAAGATAGTAGTAAAAGAGGAGGAGAGGTTTTAAAGGGAGTGATTTCAAGGACTGAGAATATCTAGCAGAAAAATATGCATGAAAAATTACAACAGCAGAAATAGGGAAAAGGCAAAAAATACATACGGGATTGGGAAACAGTGACAGATGTGATAGAAGAGATGTGAGGACAAATGGGACTTTCAAAATTGATTTTCTATCTATTATGGCAATAGTAAAACAGCTAGGTGAGACTGAGGTAGCTGGAGCTGAAGATGTATCACCAGAGGAAATCGTCATGCCTACAGTTAGTTGCTCACGGCTGTCAATGAAATTAAAAGGAACTGCATATAAAATGGGTACAGAACAGTGTTGCTCTGTCACAATGTGCATTTAGCTTTTGGAGCTCGTTGTATTCCTGTGGACAGTCAGGCAATAGGACAGGAAAAAGGATTGTACCTTCATATTATTAACAACTCTTACAGGGCAAGAGGGCACATACACACACACACACACACACACACATAGAGTTAGAAGGAAGGAAAGAGACTGTTCCAAAAGCAAAGCAAAACTTTTTCTCAAAGGGTTATAAACTTTTGTGACTTGGAGTGTAAACCAGCTTCTCACCAATGCGTTCAGGAAACAGATTCCCCTGCAAGCCAGTTATTCTGTTACCACCGATCTGCAATGCTTCACGAACTTTTCTATGTATCACTTGGCTGCTGCTTCTTTCTTTTTACCTATGGAGCAGGGAGAATGCTTTCTTTGTTCCCAATTAGTTGGCAATTTCTCAAATCCTCCATAATTTTTCAAGAAAAATTCAAGCTCTTGACAAAAATAAAATGGAAACATATCACCAAAAAGAACAAATCCAGAATAGTGTTAAGTAAGCAGCTTTTCAAAATTTGGTATTTGTGTTTATATTGGAGGCTGCTAGGATAATGTGATTTAATTCTTAACTTCAAAAATCCTAGAAATATAAATTGTTCTCTGTTGCTTCAGTTACTTCTGGAAAACACTTATTTCTTAGTTTTCTAGTCTATTGGTGGAGCTAAGGAAGATTAATATGTTTTATTCCAAGTTCAGCTTTTAAATGTTGCGCTCTCTCTCTAAAATGTGTAAGAAGCTGCATTGAATTTCCCTTCCCCCACTTTTAAATCCAATTCCTTTAGGAGCAAAAAAAAAAATTGAAGCGTCTATGTTATACTGAGTAATTATGCCCCCTGGGAAATAGAATATAAAGATCTTTAAAATCATTCAACTGAGAGAACAAGCACTTTAACTTTTGCCTCGCAGGAGTCATGTATTACATTATCAGCTACTTGCTCCAGTGTCAGTGTGTCATGCCTTGCAGGTTAGCAGGTTTGGCAGAGGAAATGAAACCCAGTCAGTTACTGCAGGATTTATAGTAGACCTGCTGTTGCAGGAAGTGGTGAAAAGTTGATTGATAGTCTGAGGCAAAACTCTACAACAAGAAACAGGATGTATGTTTGTTATTTTATACCCGTTTTTCCCTCTGCCCCCCAGCTCCATTTCAAGGCACTCTTTTACTTTTTGTTCTGTTTATAAATCCATGATGCACTTTTCTGGTAAAGCATGTGCTGACTTTAAAACACTTGAGGAAATGGATATGGCTGTACCAAGGATTTGAAGCTGACATGGCGTGCCTGCTTTATTAGAGGTGTTTATCTAAATGGCCTTGATGTTTTTGTTGAATTGTATTTCAGCAGAGTTACAAGTGAAAGGTAAAGCACATCTATAGACAGAGTATTGAATATCTGCTATCATGGGTGCATAAAGCTAGCTGTGAGAGGAGGATAATATATCACTGAGATGGACCTGATCGGCTGTGCTCTGTCAGTTCATCTGCATTTAACTGACATATCTGGAAGGGTTGTAAACCAAAAGGGTTTTTTGTATATAAACTTAATCCAGCAAGCCACATCCTGCAGAGTTCACTCCTAAAGATGGCAATCCTGAAAAGGTTTCTCTTGAAATCTGTTTTCCCTTGCTGTGCGCTGTGGAGACATCAAAGCAGCAATATCTTCTCTGAAAGCATCACCGAAGACTTTCAGTGGGATATTGTGTAGCCGTGTATGAAAAGTTACCCAAAATAATAATAATTATGAATACTTCTGATTTCCCCCACCCCTCCCTGTAGCATCTACTTTTACAATCACAATCAAAGAAGAAAGTTGTTTGCAAACCAAGCAAATAGTAGGAGCATTTAAGATTTGTGTTCTCATTATCAAATGGGAAAGTTCTGTTTGTAAAGTTAAATAATAGATCTTGTTCTTTGTTAAAGGTCAAAAAAGTTGGCTGCACTCTCTGAATCCTTGCAGAAAACCACACTCACGAAGTCCCACATGGGATTTGAACTAGAAGAGCTGGAAGCAGCGGCAGTGCTGGTACAAGAGGAAGAGCGCACGTTAAAAGCTGTTGGCACAGTTTCCAAGCAACAGCTGCCTTCCTCTGAGTCGGAGACAAGTGACTCTGAAGAATCAAGCAGTACTTCATCTGAGACAGAAGGCTCTGATTCAGATGAGCGAGAGTCCTCAACCAGTGACGATGGGAAAATAAATTCTTTACAAAACATGCTTCAAGAGGAGAGGACAGCTCCACTTACTGACTGTAATGGATTAAGGCAGGGCACAAACACTTTGGCGTTTGAGGTTAGTGATGAAAAATCAAAGGTTTCTTTGCAATCTACATCTGTTCCTGGAAAATTGATAGAAGAATTAGAAAAGCAAATGCACACTGCAATTAGACTTTCAGAACAGCCTGAAGGATTGGCTACTGCAAGCTGCGTTTTACAGGAACAAGAAGAAAACCGTGTATCTGAACCTGAGAGATTTTCAAATGATACTACCAGGAAGGGAAATTTCTTGGATGTGTCTTCAAAGACAAACCCATTGCTTTTTCTTTGCAGCACAAATGAAGATGAAGACTAAAGGACCATGTTAGAACACGGTGTGACCCACTAGCAACACAGCTCATTGCTATAACGAGGGGTTCCCAAGGCTGTCCTGCACTGCAGAAAAAGTTGATATTTTTCTTTGTTGTGTTGACAGTTTGGAGGACAAGACTGCTTGAAAAGAATCGATATGACTGCATGATAGATACCCTCCTAGTTCGATTTTTATTTTTCTTCTCTGATTCAACAGAGTCTTGATTTGATCTCTACATGTGGGAATGTCTAATTTGAGAAGACTTCTACAAAAGGTTTTCATTTAAGCTTATTTGGTAGTAGAATGATGTCCTAATCGAATACAACTGAAATGAGTTGTAGCATCATTTTAGTTATCTTTAGCTGTTGGGATTTACTTGAAAAATACCCTTGTTATGTTTGTATATACTTGTTTATGATGTTTTACTGCTTTTTGTTTAATTCTAAAATGCTTTATAGCTAACCACTTCAAAAACAATGGTTATAAATTTAAAAGCCTAAATAGTGCTGACAAATTATTTTAAAATATATAAATATTTTCAATTTTTTGTACAAAATAATTGAAGTTTCTTTATCATCAGTGCAAGGTAGAAGGGTTATAAGTTATATTTCTACGAGATAGAAGGGTTATAGCTTATATTTCTACAGTTCTTACGTAAGTTATTTCAACAGTTTTGTCATGTATTATTCTTTTGTGCTGTTTTTGAAATGTTTCCACATGTGGACACTACTATTGCTCTCTAAAGAATAGAAATCATCATTATTTCTTATTTCTTTCTGCATATGCTCTTAATATTATTGTAGTAGTGTTAACCAAAATGAAGAAACAACATGGTACAGTGGTCTTGAGTATAGGACTGAAAGCAAAGTTGTGCTGTCTAGACCTGGCTTTGTTACTAGTTTTGCCAACTCATTTGCTCCTTTTTGTCTTTATAATGTTAAAATGGCTCAATTAGACAATACATTTTATGCTAATTTCTGTTAACTCTAGATAGGTTCTTGAAATCAGGTGGCTACTGCAAATTATATGCTGCTATTCAATCTCTACAAAAGGATTTGGGACAGAGACAGGATGGGCCATGGACCACCAGGCTCTTTCAGCAGCCTGACAAAACAGGAGCACCTGATTCATGCCTCTGGAGGAACAAGCCGTGATTACTTTTCAACCGTTTTGCTATTAAAAAGTGTATAAAAATCCTAAGCTTAAAGACTTATTCTTCACCAATGCTACACCCTGCTGGAAATCAGCAGGCTAGCTCTGTTACTGTGCTGACTCCTGTTCAGTAAGAACTGCAGCCCGGATCTGCCAGTATTTTTTATGTTCTTAAATACCTACCAGTCGCTTAATCAGTCTCTGTGTTCTGTTCCCTAAGGGAGGAACCTTTCCTATCTTGCATGTCAGTGAGCACTTACTCTTCTAAATGCTAGCAATAAAATCTACACTGTAGCTGCTATTATGCAGCATATGTCTGAGGGGGGAAAAATGTGCTTAAGAGGAGGGGAAAAAAAAAGTAACCTACCTCCCTCTCTCCCCAAATTACAGGTATGAACTCTGAAACTTTCTTCAGTTAAACATGGGCTGGAAAAAGCTAAATTAGTATGGGTTAGGAAATACATGTCATGAAAAGTGATAGGTATTTGTAATATCCCGTGTCCTTGGCACTCTTTTTTTTTTTTTTTTCTTCCTCCTCCATTCTCCCATTTTGTGGCAGACTGTTGAGGAGAATGTTTCTCTTTTTCCATCAGACCTGCTTACTTGCAGGGCCTGGCTGCCTCTTCTATAGTGAGGACAACATCTTTAGGTAATCTTTTTGTTCTTTCCTCTGCGTGCCTTAAAACATGGCTTCTTTATGCCATTCGTGAGCCTTTTCCATCACGTCTGCATAAATCCAGTTTGGGTGTAAATGTCTTCAGTGTCTGCACAATGTGATGCCCCAATAAATGCCAGATGAGAACATGGCATGCATGCAGATGTTAACTCCCACATAACTTTGATGTCATTGATGTCCTCACCTTTGAGACCCCGCATAGTTGAGCTATGCCTCTGAATGCATTGAGACCCCGCATAGTTTCTGCCTCTGAAAACTATCAGGTGTCTGGTGTCTTGGTGCAGGTCTGCAGCGTGCTTTTTCCCTCTGCTTCTGCCCTGCTTTTCCTCTGCACTTGGGGTAACGTCCTGTGGTGTGTTGTACCCCGTGGCCCCTTCCCACTCCCAGGTTTCTTCCCCTTTTTGTCCAAGGTTGATGTTCATCATTACTTTTTTGCAAAACTCTAGCTGTTGAGGAGCTGATAATGAATGTTGATTTATATATTGATTGATAGAAATTTTATGTGACCTTTGTAGTGGTGCTTGTAGAGCTGGGAAGTTTTTCTGTATCGGGTGATGAGAATTTCACATGTGGCTGCGTTATCCACACACCCAGAGTGCTCAGAATGAGCAAGGTCTGTATGAAAGAGAAGCCTTGCTTCTCTAAAAAGAATGCACAGAGGCGCTTTCAAAAGAAAAGTGAGGCACAGTAACCGTGTTTAGTCAAAACTGGGGCTTGCCAAATCCATGAACCACAAACACTTGGGAAACACAAAAAAACCCCAACCCTGCCATCACCCCCGACCCCTCAATCCTGTAAGCTGCTGTGGGGTCTGAAAGAAGTGAATGAACTCCAATAACGAGTCAGATTTACGTAGAGGAGCTACATGAATCCATAGGAATTGTTCTCAAGTTTTCCAGGCTGGAAATCAGTTGATACATGAGGAACTCAATACGTGTGTCATCTGTTCTGTTGGTTTTAAAATTCTCCTTGTTCCTAGTGCCCCTCCCCACCCTATCCACCCAAGCCTATTTGTAGCACAGCCAATACTTTGTTTTAGGGCATTTGTTGCTCATCATTGTAATCAGTCCGAAGGGAACAGAATTGCAGTCTCTGGACAAAATTCCTACTGACAATAAGTTTGAATATGAGCTAAGCCTGAGAGGGGAAGAGCTGTGGGATTTTGCTGGAGGAGGGGAAAGCGGGTTGTCTGAGGTGTGTGGAGTGCTCTGGGGGAGAGATTAAACAGAGTTGGAAATTAACTTGTTTAATGTTAATCGGTTAACATTTGTCATCGTAGATCTAGGCTGTCTAAATAGAGCATCTTTGTCCCAACCTTATGTCATGGTGGTGGTGGTGCAGAGCTCCCCTGGAGCCATCTGGGGTGGCCGTGGGAAGATGGCTCCAGTTAACATCCTGACACTTCTTTGCCGCAGCAGACTGTCCTTGGGACAGCACCGACCTCCGTTCTTACCCAGACCCAACCGAAGGCAAGGTCTCGTTCCCAGCCCCGCATCTTCGCAGAGATGTTTGTGAGCTGTCCTGCCAGAAAGCCGATCTCCCTGGGTGAGTGAGTGGCGGCAGCCTGGATTCGTGCCTGAGGCCCCGGGGGAGTCTGTCCTCCGTCCTCGCTGCTGCCTGGAGCGCTGCTCCTGCCAAGGACAGCAGGAGAGGGATCTGCAGGGCCCTGTTTGTGCTCTCGCTGGCATATGTGCCAGCCCTGCTGTTGAGCTGCCCGAGTGTAGCGCAGCCCTGGTGAATGAGAATGAACTCCAGTGCTCTTGAGCCTTGGTGCCAACGCTTGGCAGGACTGTGGGCAACACGATGTGCGTGTGTGTGGACGGGGCGCCCTTGCGTCCGGGGGTTGACCCTGAAAGGATGGAGATGTGCTTGTGTTAGGGAGATACCTGGTCTTGTAGTGCTTTAAGAATAAGGTTTTTAAAGCAAGTGAAATACTAGAAACAATCAGTAGATAAACCTTTTTTTTTCCCCTCCTTTTTTTTCTGTGGGGACAGTGTCTCACAGGACGTTGCCACCTTTTAATTGCTTTCCCCAAAGAAAAAATTACTGCTCAATTGATTAAATAATTGATTTCCTCCCCCCAACTTTTGTAATTCCAGCTACCTTTCTGAAAAGTTTGTAAAGGCTTTGCTCTATATCAAAAAAAGCAAGCATCAATTAGACTTGATTTAATACAGTAAATGATAAATATGGCAAAGAAATAGATGCACAGCACTGGAGCGAAGGGGCCAGGCAGCCCTCCGCCATTGACACAGCTGAATTTTGTCAAAGCCCGAGCCGACTGTCTCAAGGCTGGAGAAAACAAACAGGGAAACACATGTCAAATAGATAAATAGCTCTGCTGCTTAGAGCTCTCCGTGGAGGCCGTTTGTCTCCAAGATAAGGAAGAATGCACTCCAGAGCTGTGAGAAGATAAGCTGGGAGAACAAAATGAATATGGAATTGTTACGGGTGTACTTGGGCGTTCACACACAGAGCAAATAAATACAGTACCCCCTCCCTGGGGGTCTCTACAGAGAGTAGGGTGCAGCACCCAGGGAAAAGTCTAATGTGAACTTGCAGGCTTTTCTTAACTATTTCAGCAGTGGATGATCTTTACACCTTTACAGCACACAACAAAATGGCGTTGGTGTCAGTTCTCTTAGCAAGTCACTGATTTTAAAGTATTTTCCAAGCCTGTCATGGATCTATTTCTCTCCTTTTTAGTGGTAAGTGGGCTGCAGTCTGTGGTTATGTGGGCATGTGTGAGGCATGATTTTGCACTGACACAATAAACTTGAGTTTGTAGCACTGTGGTACTCATAAATCACACTATTTTTATATTCTTAGGTTTTGGAGAAGTGACAGTACTGTTTCCACAAATGCTGCGTTTGAAGACCTGACTTAGATGGTATCTGAAATGCGTTTGGTAATGTTGGTTTGCATTTCATTACAAGTTTTCTCATATTCAAAAGCCGCAATACAATTCAGCACAGTTGGCAGCATTTTGGAGGATGCTCAAGGACAAGAACAAAAGCCGTGTCCCTCAGGTGAGGACTAAGATGTTGGCAGAGCTCCGCGACTGAGGACAGCTGTGACCCAACAGCTGGTCATTTCTGTGGGAGAAGCTTCTTTCAGTCGGACAGTGATGGAAAAGAACAGAAAGTTTCAGGTTTATAAACTAGCAAGGTGGGCC